GGAGTTTCCCGCTCACTGTACAGTCACACAGCCCATATCTGGGCAGAGTGAAGTTTCTTTAGCACAAACACGTTCTGCCTGAGAAGAGCTTAAGTTCTTCCTGGGCCCGGCAGAGGCTGCTGTGCTGCTAAGACTAGGTATGTAATAGTGTAGTCGATTTTTTTGCTTAATAAGTCTCGGAGTCTTTTTCGCTTTAAAGCAAAAATTTGGCCTTGCACAGAACTCATCTCCATTGTCTTTATAGAGACCTTTTAATAGATTAGGGTTCAGTTTAACACACTGGTCACCAACCAGTAAATTGGGATTGGAGCCTCTGACAGGTGATCCTCACTGGTGTGGCCAAGAGACTATAAAGTGCCAGCACTTCAGCTGCTCCTCCCCACACTGCTGGTAATCTCCTGCTCTTTGCCTTAGCACTGCCCCTCCCCTGGGGAGCCTCCTGCTTTCTGGGCAGGGCAGGGGAGGGAGAAGAGGAGTGCTGATGTCGGGTGCTCCCCCCCTCACTTATGGTTGCCAGATATCCAGTTTTGAACTGGACAGTCCAGGGTTTGAGATTTCTGTTTGGGAAACAAATTGAGAAAATAGAAATGTCGGGTATTTTCTAACTAAGATGGAATGTCAATTGTGATGTCATGGCAAGTGTGTCCGGTATTTTTGTTGAAACCATCTGGCAACCCTACTCCCACTCTGTATCCTATCTCCACCGAGCAGGGCAAGGAGCACAACAGGACTTGGGAGGGAGTTCGCTGGCTGCTTTAGGGAGTGAGCCAGGGCCAGGACAGAAGTGAGCCTGCCTTAGCCCCACTGCAACCCCACCCGGAGCCACCTGAGGTAAGCAAGGCCCAGCTGGAGCCCACATCCCTAACTTCGTCCCCAGTCATGAACCCCCTCCTCCATCCCAAGCCTCAGCCCCAAGCACCCCTGCAACCAAATGCCATCCCAGAACCTGTACCTAGAACCCTTCCTAAATCCCAACTGCCTGCCCCAACAGCAGCTCAGAGCCCCTCTGACACTCCAGGTCCCTTAATCCAAGACCAGAACCAACACCCCAACACTCTGCCCCAGCCTGGTGAAAATGAGTGAGATGGGCAAGAGAGGGATGATGGAGTGAGCATGTGTGGGGCCTAGGAAAAGGGGAGGAATGGAAGTGGGGCAAGGGTAATTATATTTGAGGTAGCTCTTGGATTGCCCTTAAATTCAAGAAGTGATCTCATGCTTAAAAGGGTTGCAGACCTCTGGGTTTAATACCATGCATTTCCTATAATGTTTGCTCTCATCACTTTTCACTGCAGTGGGAACAGCAGCCAGCTCGCTGTATACTCTCCCAGCTCCAGCATGTGTCCGCATGGTGCAGATCCTCAGGCAAAAATGGAAAGAGAGGTTATATTCAAGGAGCAGATGAATTATAAGAACTCCCTCGTGGGCACAGGCAGAGCCCCACAACAGGATCGTGGATCGCCAGGAGAGGAGATTCTCCAGGTGAGACAGCAGGCGACCATCTTTGCCTCCCTGACAACTGTGATGGAGCCTCTGGCTTGCATGCCTGGAGAAGGCTTCTTCCTAGATTTATTTTAGTAATCGTGTAGCCGCAACAACTTTTAGCAGTTACACTGTTACTAAAATGCTCCTCCTGGGGGAGGGACCAGCATTCTATGCTCTTCTGCCCAGGCCCATTCCTGGGGAGTCCCCTGCCACTCCAAATAGGGTGGAAGGAGGAACCAGTTTAAAAACTGACTCGCTGTGCAGTCCAGCTCCCGCCTGCCATCCCGTGCTGCTCTTGCTGCTACAGCTCCCCATGGGCAAAGCTGCTTCGGCATCCCACGGAGCAGGCCTGCCATGGCCTGCTCCAGGATCCTGCCTGTCCTCCCTCCACACTGTTGCCTCTCTTTCAGTGGCAGCAGCCAGGGGAGGGGAGGTGGCTCCATGGGAGATGATACGTGCGGGGATCCAACTTGATAGCTGGCTTTCCACATGTACCAGCTCCCCGCTGTCCCCCTCAGTGTACTGCAGAGGTGGGATGGGGGATTAAAGGCAAACACAGGAAATACGGCGCTACTTACTGAAAGCAACGTGTATGAGTCTCAAAACTGGCCATTCATGAAACTGTCCTTCAAAACTTCTCTGGTTTGTGCTGCCCCAAGATGTGATCTCTGGTGTCTGGCTGCTCAAAGTGTCTTGCTAAGGGATCTGCCTCTACCTCCCACCCAGCCAGGAAAGTTTCCCTCTTGTTCTCACAAAGATTATGCCTCTCTTGTTAATTTAAAAGTTGAGAAGTACAAAGTAATACATATTTGGAAAAATAATCTGAGCTATATGTATAAAAGAATGAGATACATGTAGGCTACGTCTACACTGGCATGATTTTCCGAAAATGCTTTTAACAGAAAAGGTTTTCCATTAAAAGTATTTCCGAAAAGCGCATCTAGATTGGCAGGACGCTTTTCCAGAAAAGCACTTTTTCCGGAAAAGTGTCGATGGCCAATCTAGACGCGCTTTTCCGGAAAAAAGCCCCGATCGTCATTTTCGCGATCGGGCTTTTTTGCGGAAAACACTACTGTGCTGTCTACGCTGGCCCTTTTCCAGGACAGTTTTCCGAAAAAAGACTTTTGCCCAAACGGGAGCAGCATAGTTTTTCCGGAAAAGCACTGATGATTTTATATTAGATCATCAGTGCTCTTCCGGAAATTCAAGCGGCCAGTGTAGACAGCTGGCAAGTTTTTCCGGAAAAGCGGCTGATTTTCCGGAATAACTTGCCAGTGTAGACACAGCCGTAAAGTAATGCACATTGGAAAAAATAATCCCAACTATACATACATTATGATGAGGACTAATATGGCTACAACTACTCAGACAGATCTTGGTGTCATTGTGTGTAGCGGAAGTCAAAAAAGTACATAGAATGTTAGGAATCATTAAAAAGGGACAGAGAAGAAGACAGAATACCTTCTTGCCTCTATATAAAACCATGGGATGCCCACATGTTGACTCCTGCATACAGATGTGGTTGCCTCATCTCAGAAAAAATATATTGGCATTGGAAAGGGTTCATAAAGGGCAACAAAATGATTAGGGGTTTGGAATGGATCCCAGATGAAGAGAAATTAAAAGTCTGGGACTTTTCAACTTAGAAAAGAGGACACTAAGGGTGAATATGATAGAGTTCTATAAAATCACGATTGATGTGGAAAACGTGAATAAGGAAAAGCTATTTGCTTATTCCCTCAATATAAGAACTAGGGGTCACCAAATGAAATTAATAGGCAGCAGGTTTAAAATTAACAAAAGGAAGCTTTTCTTCAACCTTTGGAACTCCTTTCCAGAGGATGTTGTAAAGATCAAGACTTTAACAGGATTCAAGAAAGAGCTAGATAGTTTCATGGAGGTTTGGTAATCAATGGCTATTAGCCAGGATGGGTAGGAATGGTGTCTCTAGTCTCTGTTTCTCTTGATATGGGAGACAGGGGAGGGATCACATGAGGATTACCTGTTGTGTTCTCTCTCTGTAGAGTATCTAATATTGGCCACTGTCAGCAGACAGGATACTGGGCTATTACTACTGGAAAAAGTACAAAGAAGTGCAACAAAAATGATTAAGTATATGGAACTGCCTCCATATGAGTGAGATTAAAAAGACTTGGATTGTCAAGCTTAGTAAAGAGAAGAGTAAGAGGGCATATGACAGAAGTCTATAAAATCGTGACTGGTGTGGAGAAAGTGAAATAAACTGAATGAAGTACGTTATACAATGCATAGTCAACCTGTGGGACTCATTGGCAGAGGATGTTGTAAAATCAACAACTGGGTTCCAAAAAGATTTAGATCAATTAACAGAGGATAGGTCCATCCATGACGACAGGGAAGCATCACTTCATAAAATGCCCTGTTCTGTTCATTCCCTCTGGGGCATCTGGCTCTGGCCAGTATCGCAGGACAGGATACTGGGCTGGCTGGACCAGTGGTGTGACCCAGTGTGGCCATTCTGATGTTCTGCTGTGGTGCATAGGCAGCTGGTGGGCTGAGACACGAAGGCTACGTCTCCACTGCAGGCTTTCTGCGCAAATGCAGCGGGTAGGATGCTCTTTGCTCCCCTCTCCCTGTGGTCAGTTTTGTTGAGGAACAAAAGTTCCACAGAGTCCAGGTGATTCTGCCGTCCCAGCCCAACCTTCTCCCAAATGGGTAGGGTTGCCAGGTGTCCGGTATTGACCCGGACAGTCCGGTACTTTCACCTCCTGTCCAGTAAAAACATTCAGACAATACCAGACACCTGAAACGTCCAGTATTTTCTGATTTTTTTTCCTGGCCAGGAGGGAAAAATACCGGACACCTGGCAACCTACAAACACGCAATGCCGTGCCCGGCATCCTTCTCGCCCCCCTCCCAGACCTCATGCTTACCTGGTTCCACAGGGAAGCTAAGTTTTTTGCTCAACAACTTTGGTCTCTTGCCCCCCCCCCTTTGTTTTCTTCAACAGAATTTTCCCCCTCTTTTTTGGGGGGAGTGAGGGGGTGTTCGGTATTTTTGGTTCAACCATCTGGCAACCCTACTAAGGGGGTCTCTGAAATTCATTCAGATCAACCTGTCACATGGCAAATACCTGTCCCTCGGGCCACAGAAACAGCCCGAAGTCATGAAAGTGCCCTCAGTGGGTCAAGGGGGCATTAATTTCAGCCTGAGCAGTGTGAATCCTTTTCTAATGGCTCCTCTGGCCCTATCGCTTTGTGGGGTGAACTGGGATCGCCCCTCAGCTGCTTTGTCCCTGTTATTTCTTGGCAGATTTCACGGAGGAATCCGGCGCTGTTACCTGGGTTGTGTGTGTATGGATTGGCCGGAACCTGCCATGGACTGGTTATCTCTAAGCGCTACAGCCCACCCACCCCCGCCTCTCCATGTTACTACTCTCGGGAAGAGGTGGAGCCTATTCCTCGGAGCAGCCATTCCTCTCGCCATATCCCGGCGCACGCAGAGCGCTGAGGTAAGAAGCCGCCGGAGACCAAGGGAGGGGGATAGGAAAACTGCCCCAGTCCCTGCCTGCCTCAGTGGCCAGCTGGCGGGGCCGAGCAGGATTCAGCGCCTTGTTTCGCTGCTGCTGCACTTCCCGCATCTGGCTGCTCCCGCCTGTGGCGAGGCTGGAAGCCCAGAGGGACCGAGCAAGTGGAGGAGCGGGTATTTGGGGTGTCCGGAGCCCAGCTCTGGCCAGAGGCGGAGCCAGGGTGATTACCCCCTTACATCCCATTCCCCAAGGTCTGGGGCTGGAGCTGGGGGAGGAGGGCGGTTCTCAAGGTTCCCGGCTCAGCCCGAGCCGCCTCACCCTGTGGTGGGGTGGGCTCCGAGCTGGGCGAACACTGATGAACTCGCTTCCCTGTGGCTGCTCAGAGCAAAGTGAGCTCAGGGTTAGCCAGTGACTAACGCAACAGGGCAACATGGCTGCTAGGATGATAAAATCCTAGAACTAGAACTGGAAGGGCCCTTCAGAGGTGATCTAGTCCAGTCCCCTGTCCTCACGGGCGTGGCCAAGCACCGTGTAGATCATCCCTGACAGGTGTCTGTCATTTCCTAGGTTGTTATTTCCTATTTTATAGCTGGGCACTATGTATGCCCTTTTCCAGTCTGCTGGAAATTCTCCTCACTTGCATGATTTTTCAAAGATGAGAGCAAACGGCTCGGATACCTCCTCTGTGAGCTGCTTGACTATTCTAGGCTGCATTTCATCAGGCCTTGGTGACTCGAAGTCATCAACTTTTCTAAGTAATTTTTAACTTTTTGGTTTTTTTTATTTTAACTTATTCTTATTCCAGCTCCATGGTTCTATGATTCTATGAACTTCTAAGCCTGCCCCCATTTCTGCTGGGCTTTCATTATGTTAGGCGTCCCTTCGTCTAACTCAGGGGTGGGCAAAAGAGACTCCGTGAGCCAGATCTGCAAAGCAGGTGGATCCGGCCTGCGGAGGCACGGCTGCCCCCCTGCTCCCAGGGCAATTAAGGCCTGGTGTGGGGCAGTGCCTGAAGCCTTCTTTGCTCTCCCCCACTGCGCACTGCTTACAGGGCGGGGCAGAGTGGACAAGGCTTTGCACATTCCCCTGCCCCAAGCCCTAATTGGCCTGGAGGCAGAGGAGCGTGCAAAGCCCCCTCCTGTCCTGCTGTGTGTGCCCTGCTCACAGGGCAGTGGGGAGAGTGGAGCACGCTTTGCATGCTCTTGCCTCCCCCGCCCCCAGCCAATCAGGGCCTGGGGGCAAGGGAGCGCTGTGAAGCTTCCTCCACCCTGCGAAGAGCCTGCAGCGCTTCATAGTGACACGGGCTCCTTGCAGGGCTGGAGGAGGCTTCCCATGCTCCACTGCCCCCTGGCCCTGATTGGACTGGGGCTGGAGGAGCGTGCCAAGCCTCTTCCAGGGCCTGGGTGTCCAGTGGGAAGGGGGCCAAAGGGCTCCCTCGCCTTAGACCAATCATGGTCTGGGAGTGGGTAGCCCCTCCCCTTCCCATTTAGGCCCCACCCCTAACAGGGTAGCCCAGGGCCACTTCAAATATTTTTGAAGTGTCCCGTGGGCAAAAATTATTGCCCGCCCCAATCTAACTTGGTGAAAATCAAAACAAAGAAGTCATTAAGAACCTCTGCGGTTGATCTGTGGTTTCCCCCAAACCATTTCCCTTCCCACAGCACAGTCATGCAACCCGCATTCGGGCGGGGTGGAGTTTCTTTAGTTGAAACATGTTGAGCCTGAGAAGGGCTGCAGTACTACCTGGGCCGGGTAGAGGCCACTGTGGTAGCAGGACAGCCAGCTGCATGAACACAGCTGGGTTATGGTGGTGAGTAAGGATGTAAAGGATCGTGTAATTGACTAATCGGATAGTCGAAAGGGTAGAGCTGCCCCTTTGAAATGCCACAACGGTTTCAAAGTGGCAGGGCTACATGAAGCCCAGAGTCAGATGGGGACTCCCCAGCTGCAGTTTTGAAGTACGCCCCTCTTTCCCCTCCCCCCTCTTGCTGCCTCTAGCTGATAGAGGCAGCAAGGGGAGAGGGAAGCGACGAGTTGACTAGACTGTCGATTAACATCCCTAGTGGTGACAGGCAGGTGCACAGATCTCTCAGCTCCCTTATCTGCCCCTCTGGCTGCAGGTTCCTCCCACCCCTTGTGTCTGAACTGAATTCCACAGATGAGATCAGCACCAGACAGAGGCACCTAAACCTTAATTCCCTCTGGCAGAGCACAGGGGAGGCAGAAAACTGAACTAGAGCCTGAGTCCTTAAACCTGGGAGCATTTGTAACCTGGTCCTCTAGTGAGTGTGCTACAGGCTTCCCCCTGCCCGCTCCACAAAGGATCTGAGTTGTCACTCTCTGTGTTGTTAATGTTAAGCATTCTTAACTGAGTGAGGACTCAAAAAATGAGATTTAAAAATCGGAGTTCCCCTCTTCATCTTCTGGTTTCTCAGTCTCTGGAATGGAACGAGGTCACATTTTCAAACTTTTCTCTGTATCCACAAAGGCTGGAAATGTTCTTTAATAATTAAAAAAAAAATGAATACTGAGATTCTTTCCTAACTGTTTGCCCTGGGATGGCATACCAGCACCTATTTTCCTATCATGCCTTACTTAAATAAGATTCATTTATTGGCATTTTCCTGGGGCGGCCTGGCTCCCGACGCAAGGCCCTTGGGACACGCAGCTTGGGACATGCCCCATTTTTATTTGCTCAGCAACTTTGAGCCTGGAGTACTGGCACTCTTTTTCTTACAAAAAAAGCACTGCCTAAGGAGCTGGGCTTTGGAAAACCCCAACTATCCTAAAATCACAGCTGGTAACAGGATGTGAGAATTTTCCAGCAGGAAATTTAGAAACCTCATGATCTCTATTGCAGCAGTGCTTAGGTGACCCATGTCACTTTACAGTGGTTTTGAGCTCTCATCTTTTTACTTGAACAGAAGCTGTGTCCGAACAGTCCAAATCTCAGTGGAAAAGCTTCCTCCCAACACACGCACACACTGAAAGCTGTTTACTGGAGTGGAGTCTCCCTAAACTTGTAGTTCTTTCTTAATCACCTTTTTTCCTAGTGGCAGAAACATCCTTTCTCTGCATCCCCTCCCTCTGGAAGCATTTACCTTTTTGGAGAAGGGAATCACTTTGAAATATAATTTCCCCGGAGACGAAGTGGGGAGATAAGTGGGCAGGAGCAGGATTTCCCCCCATTCTCTCCAGGTAGGGATTTTAAATTTTTATCAATAAACTAACTGAATAGTCGATAAGGGTGCCTTGTCCCAGCGCTGTTGCTACACTTCAAAAGCGAAAGTGATGCAGGGAACAGGGGGACCATCAGGGGTCTGATTGAGTCCTTCACTGGCCCAGTGCTCCCTGTGGCGTTTCAAAGCAGTAGCGCCACATGGAGCCCAGGGTCAACTGGAGACTGCCCCGCCGACCCAGGGCTCCATGCAGCGCTGCTGTTTTGAAACGCTATATGGGGGTACCTGCAGCATTTCAAAGTAGCTGTGGTGCAGGGAGCCCAGGTTAGCTAAGTTACCCTAAGTTCCATGTGGTGCTGCCTCTTTGAAACACTGAGGGATGCCTGGGGCCAGCTGGGGAGTTCTCAGCTAGTGCAGGGCTTCCTGTATCATTTCAAGGCGGCAGTACTGCATGGAGCCATGGGTCAGCCGAGGACTTCCCCCGCTGTCCGTGGGCTCTATGCGGAGCTGCCGCTTTGAAGTATCCCGTCCTCTTCCCCCCACTCTTGATGCCTCTTCCTGATAGAAGCAACTAGGTGTGGGTCGACTAGTGTTTCACCACCCTACTCCAGGTGAAGGGATGAAGGGCCCAACCGCATTTGGGGAGCAAATAACTGGACTTGTCCAACAACAGTTGCTGTTAACCACTATCTAGTCTGTGTTATAAGTGAGTTACTGTTCCACTTTGTGACTAGAAGAGGGGAGGTTGTCTAGGGCACACAGTTGAAACCCAGCTGTGGGAGAGAGCTGTGTAACCGTTAAACCACAGGGCTGAGTCCGGATGCCTGGAGTCTGTTCCTACAGCTGCTACCGCCTGAGTGACTCTGTGGACATGGCAGGGGGTTGGTTATTGCCTGTGCCTTAATGTCATTCTCTGTGCAACGGATGTGGGCATGCTCACCCAAATCTATCGATAATAGGTTCTGTACAATTCTGGACGTGAGTGGTTAATCAGTGAGCATTACTGCGCTGTTCTTAGCTTTGGGGTTTGTTCTGAGCAGTGGGGGTGTGTGGCAAAGCTCCAGCTATTTCCTGTGGATCTTGTACTAGTGTTAGCCCCAGGGACTCACTGTTGCCCTCCACACAACCTCTGTCTCTTTAATCGAGACAGGAGCCACAGCCTACTGAGCTATCCTCAGTAAAAGCAAGTTCATACATTTGGGTAAAATCCCCTTTGGAGTCCTGACCTCCCTTCTTCAGGCAGGCATTTAGCATATGTGCATGTGTGATAGGCCATCAGCATTGGTTTGTGCAGGAATGGACTAGAATGGTTGGAGGGAGACAAACTGCCGGGTCACTCTTGGTTCTTTTCACTGGGGATGCAACTGGACTGATTGAAATCCCAGCATTTAAATCACCAACAAAAATAATTGATTTAAATCAAGTATCCCAATGATATTTCTTAATGTTTCTTAAACAACTAGGCAATTCGCTCGTCATAAGACGGGATTTTGAGGTCTCTCCTCCACGTCGGTCTTTTCTCCTGAGCCTCCGGTCTCTCTCTCTCTCCCTCTCTCTCTCTCTCTCTCTCTCCTTCTTCTACTGCCTCCCCGCCCCAGCTCTCCTCCACCTCCTGCCTCTCTCTCTGTCTCTTTCTTTCTCTTCTCCTCCCCGTCCTGCCTCTCACTCGGGGGACTGCAGAGCCCAAATGGCCGTTTGGGCTCCACACTCCCTGTGCTTCATGGGGGGCGCGGAGCCCAAATGGTCGCTTGTGCCACTTGCTCCCA